TGCTCCGGAGCCACGGCACGCCGAGGCAGAAGGCAGAGCGGTTTGACAGTGTGGCCTAAATATCCCTGTTTACAAAAAGTCTGACAAAACACAAGCCCTTGGCTTTATCTTTCCCATTTGGAAATAGCCACAGAGCAAATATACTTAAGGCATGAAGGGAGGGGGATTTATATTGACTTTAGAAAAAGCTGTTCTTTAAAAACAGGAAAAAAAGCTCATCCTCGAGCTGTGCAGACCGGCTGCTAGACCCAAACGTCTTGCACAGAGGCTTAAAGCCTGCCTGCTAATCTGTAGCAGTTCTGTGTGAGCAAGTCATGCAGTAAACTGCTCTCTGTTAATTTTTTAATGCAGAATAAACAGGTCAAGAAATGATTAGCATGAGAATAAGTTGAGCTTAATCGGGAGAATCAGAAAAGATGAGAGGGAAGAGGCAAATTGGAGTTATCAGTTAACCATACGGAGTGGCTCTGCCTCCACGAGCTCATGTTCCCTCTTGTTTTCCATCCCCTCTGAAGCTGCCTTTTTTTTCTGCCTCCCCTAATTTAAATGATGAGCTAAAATTGCTGGTATAAGCACAATGGAAGCCCTTGTTTCTCCTTCTCATTTTCTCTCTGCCACGGCTGCCCAAATTGCAGGCGATAAGGCTCCTACCTGGTTCTTCCTGATGGTCCTTCCCATTCTGCATGGAGAAAGGAAGCTGCTGACGTTAAGGCTGAAACGTGCAAAATCCGCTTTGTGTGCGTACAAGCGCTCTGCTCCAGCGCAAACGTTTCGGTGTGATCCCGGCGGATCTGGGGACTGAAGGGAGGCATCCGTGGGCAAGGGGAAGAGCAGCCCTCGGGACTGCTTGGAGTGGAGTTTGGTCAGTGGTCGGAGATCTATATTCTCAGATAGGCAGGACTTTGTCCACAAACTGGAATTTGAAATTTCAAAGGGGAAAAAAAAAAAAAAGGGCAGAAGAGACCTTTGCATGTGTGGAGATGACTACACTGGCGACGTTCCCCTGGGGCTTTTGTTCTTTCTCTTCTACCTCAGCTTTGTGCTTCCCCAACAGCTCGCTCGGTGAATCGGTGGTGGGCTGAGCACGGGCCTCAACCTTGTTCGGGGCTTTCCTGCTCTGGAGAGGTTTCAGACCCAAAACCTACCTCTGCTTCACCTACGTGCCAAGGAAAAGCCCCTCCAGCCCCACAGTGGCCTTGGAGCTGCAAGTGGCATGCGAGGAGTGATCCGGAGTCGGGGCTGCAAGGGGCAGCGGTGGCATCGCTGATGTAGGACGAGGTTTGTCCTGGGGCTCCGGGTACTGGCATTTCTGCCAGGGATTTTTTGGGAGTGCAGAGCTGTGAGAGAGAAAAGCAGAGGGCAGGAGGATCCCAGGCTCCCAGCTGCAGCGCGATCACTGTCTGTGCTCAGAAGGTCTGTGGGCGACCCCAGACTGGGGGGTCCGGTCGATGCACTGGAGGGCAGGGCTGCCGTCCCGCGGCAGGCTGGAGAAACGGGCCAGCAGGAGCCGCAGGGCATCGAGGGGATGCGGCCAGGCTCCTCACAGGGTGCGTGGTGGGAGGAGATCAACAGGCCTAAAAACTGGAGAGAGGCTCAGACAGTGTCTAAGGAGGGACTTACTCACCATGAGGACAGTCAAGCATCAGCTGCCTAGAGAGGCTGTGCGGTCTCCATCCTTGGAGGTGTTCAAGATCCAAGTGGATGGAGCCCCAGGCAGCCCGTGCTGCTCTCACAGCTGGCCCTGCTTCCAGCAGGAGGCTGGAGCAGAGACCTCGAGGTCCCTTCCAACCTCAATTACCCTTTGATCCTGCAACACCCCATTGCAGAAGGGCAGGAGGAGCCCCGGGAGAGAAGTCTGCTCACCCACTTGGCATGAAGAGCTAGCAAGCACGGTAGCTGATGCCATCCTTACCATAAATGCTGTATTAAATACTCTAATCCTGATCCTCATTTACCGAGAAGCATAGATCTTACTTTCAGGAAATCCCCTTTTGCTTTGGATGAATTTGCCAGTCAGGGACACATAGATAAGGCAGAATTAGTGTCGTGATCTGCCAGTGTGGGAAAGGATTTACTGATCAACAGATAAAAATTAAATAATTGCTTGGTACGGAACACTTCATGCCCCGGCGCTGTCATGGTCTCCTTCGCAGCTGTCTCCTGGCGTAGGAAACAGTGGGTGGACGGCACAGAAAATGAGGACAAGAGGAGAGAGGAGAGGGCCTGAAAACTGAACTTGCCCTGAGCACCTGGTCTGGGAACAGCCTTCGCCGGCCGGGGGGGTTTGCCAGCTACGAGCTGTCTCTCTCTCGAGTAAAAATGATGAAGGACAGAAGTGTTTGAATCAGTCCCACAACCAGCTGCTGACTTGAACGTCTCCAACCTAAACCAGCTGCAGGGCCGCAGGTCCTGTTGGCTAGTACAAGCCATGACTACATTGGTAAGCTGTCCCAAAGCCCACCGCGCAGGGACGTCGGGGGGAGACAAGGACTCCCCAGGCAGAGCATCCCTGGGGAGACACCGTCTCCCACTGCAGAGCGTGCCAGGGGAGCAGCTGACACGTTTCCACCAGGAGCCCACCTCCGGGGCAAGGGAAGGGCGCAGTGTCCTTGACTGGTCTGGTCCTCGGCCTCCATGCCAAGACAAGGGATTTGGGAGGGGGCACTGGTGACCGACGGGGGACACCAGCAGTGAGAAAACGACGGTCGACAGCACCCTGGGGCGGAAAGTGCCACGTCCCATTGACAGCCCCAGCCTCGTGAGCCATCTAATGCTCTCCAAACTTCCCCGCTCCTTATCTGCCGCCCTCCCGCACACGCTGCCTCTCCGATTTCTATTCCTGGCCCTTTTAATCCTTCCTGCCCAGGGAGCAAACAGCCTTTGCAGCCTTCCTTGCTCAGCAGGCTATTTAAGCAAAAGGTTTGTTTTGCTGAGCAGAGCAAAATGGGTCATGCTTTTACGATATTTTACTAGACGCTGTGGCAAATCCTGCACATATTTGACCTAGTGTCTGTAGCATTTATCTAATCAAAGGGATCACTGTGGCCCGGCCAGGATTGGGACGGAGGTCTCTGGGATGAGGCCATGGAGGGGGCTAATGCTCTACCTTAGCATCCCCATCCCAGTGTGCACAATTTTTGGCTGAGGACCGCTCCTGCTG